CTGTTGTTATTGTACAGTGATTCTAGCTGGAATGTCAATGAGTATATACTAGGACTGCGTGAAAAACTCAAGTCTTGGAAAGAGGTTTACTGGAGGTATTTGCATTGTTTTGTAATGATATGCATTGTAATGAAAGACAGGTATCTAACGCTGAGGCTCAAATTCATTCCCACTGTCCTCTCTGCAGTGCCTGCCCTTTTGAAAATAGCTACAGAGAAGGCACTAGGAATGAGGTTGGCTTTAGCTTGCATCTATAGATAATAATATCTTTATCTTCTTCTTGACATACCTATGTACATACATGAAAGCAAAAGTTTGTTCATTTTTATGGACATTGTAAAACTGTGGTCCAATTTAATTGAATTTTAGAGTTTATTAAATTGTTTTATTAATAGTTACACCATTGCAAAGCTACCTAAATTCATTTAGTTAGATACGTACGGAGATATATGATATTAATTGACTTCATTTTACTCACGTGTGTATTCACTCTCCATACAGGTTGTGGGGTGCTGTCAACTTTCTTTATTGCTTTAGATGTGGCAATTATTTTCCATGTTCAGAGCTGGGTCATTGTCGATATCATCCGTCTAGTCCTGAGTACAGTCAAACTGCCAAAGAKTCTATCATTGGAGTATATCCTTGCTGTCAGCAAAGTGTGTTAAGATTTGATACTACAGGACAACAAACGGTATGTGAGTCAACACCTGTTTGTTTCACTGTGCAGTTTTCTTAGGAACTTGTCTCATAARGGCTATTCAAAATAGTTTGCGAGAGGAGAAAAGCACAGCAAACCATGGCACTGCAGATTATGTATAAGAATACAATGCATTCCTTTATAAAAAAAATACTTAGTTTTGACATTCATATCTTCGCCAATTTATAAAGTTCACTAATTTTCCAGCAGGTTGTTTTGCAAACTCCGTTTGCACAGTGTACCACTATATCACTTTTCCTGTAAACATGAGAGGATAATTCACTTTATCTCTTCCACAAAGGCACACGCGCCCTTTTAAATTAATATGCAATTATTCCATAACGTTAGTGTAGGAGGAGGGGGGAAGGGTTTAATTTCATTACCGCCATTATATCACGATACAGAATTATTTGTTCTCTACCAAAAATTCATATATTAATAATACCTGCAATATTGTTTTTGTTAGGGTTGTAGTTTCCGTGACCATCGTATGTCCAGGAATATTTCAATCACTTCGTCTTCATCGGATAAAAAAGATGAAAATCYTTCAACAAATAAAGGTATATCACTGATTCATGTTCGTTCTTCTCTGCACTGGAGAATTACTTATTTTCTGAGCTAAAATAAGAAAAGAAAAAAGGGTAATAAATGGTGCAAAAAAAAACATTTTTATCGATGGGATAGCTCAAACGGGCGCAATCGCTATCAACACTTGCTTCAACATTTGTTCGATTTCAGTTGCTGTTCGACAAAGTTGAACGAATGTTGAAAAAGATGTTGAAAGTATTTGGGCCGGACTTTGGACATAAAACTTTTGACGTAAACGTGCTCCATACGAGTGTCGATACATTTTCAGAAGGAGCCGGCGGGGTCTGTTCTTCTAAATAACTGTTCTTGTACGAMTTTTTTTCCTGGGAAAGGGRTTTTTGAGCTGCATTGTTGACAATCTCACAAGCAAATGTGGTGCCCTTCCTTCTTTAAACTAATTTTGTTCCTGGYAAACGTTTTTTAGGTCAAAAAAGGCTTATCTTCAAACACGGCTYATATTTTTTTTAGTTAGAATTTTTATTTTCCTGGCAAAGATCAATGTAAGCTTTTGTCACAATTCACTGTATCTGTGTTGTAAATATATTTTTGCAATCTTCACTGACTTAAAACTGATGCATGTATAATAACAATGCCTAGAATTTATCTGAAAAGGTTTTGTTATTTTGCATCTTTTTCAGAACCAGAGGACGCAGRTATCCGTGAAGGATCAACAACAAGTCCTTCAAAACCGTCCAGTGGAAGCTGTGATCGTCTTACGAGAGGTTCGCTATCTCCCAGTGGGGATGTCATCAATAATCCTATAGTTGTTGAAGATCTTAACTCGCACAGAAACTTAATAGAAACCCCGTCRAACCGACTCATGAGTGCAAGGTAAATCACTCAAACAGCACTGTTATTGTATTGTTACAGTTGACTCTCTTTGAACGAACTCTCTCGTAAATGACCATCTCCCGTAAGCGACTACCTTTTTAATTTAAAAGATGGTCGATTACGCGAGATGGTCGCTTACAAGAGTGGTCGTTCAAAGAGAGTCAACTGTACACAATTTTAACGAGMTTTGTACTGTAAAAATAATTTATGACTATTTTCTCTGAAGAAATCTTAAGACCTGAGTGCTATGCCTTTTTTTCGCAGGAATTCCGAGTTGGATATATTTTCGGTTGAAGAAGATGTGATGTTAAAACGATGTCCSTCTACAGAAGGCGAGGTGAGCTGAAAAAACACAGAACACGAGTTTAATGGTTGACATTACTTGAGAAATCATGAATTAGGAAACTTKTATTGTGTTTCTATATGATTCAAAATACAGATWTGATYATTTCCAAAATGTCGTGTGGGTAGAAACATAAACCTTTGCATGCTAWTAAGTTTCATTGAAAAACCAYTTTGAAATTGCCGTTATATTAAGTTGTTATCATAATCATTATGCATCAGTCAATTTTAACCATGGACCCCTAACCCCCGGGCAATACCGGGGGAATTATCATTTCTACMGTGTTAAAGTTGCCGCRTTTCCCGGACCTTAGAGGACAAAAAAGTCGGCTAAACTGATTATTTCCTTTGATTTAACGGTAATTCCMCGTCGTGCCTTTAATTGTGCTGTTAAAGCAGTTTAGAGCCCCCGGATATAATGGTCCTCCCTAGGGGGTGGGGGACGTGGTTTCAATWTATCTATGCATTAGTTATGAGTTACCTCAAAWTGTAACCAATGCTTCGAGTGTCATCCCCGTTATTTTATTCAGAATTCAAGTGTGTTACCTGATGCTATCGACCCAAGTGAACGAAAAACAGATGCACAGGTGACCTGCATAATCTTATCTGTCTGTACTATCTTATTCATGCAATTTCTATCGTTCTTGTTCATATGAGACTCACTACTCTACATGCTCACAACCGTAGTAACGTATTTTCATGCGACAGTTGAAACTGAGTTAAAAAAACCTCCTTCTTTCTCCTTCTGTACTCTACAGGCTCTTCCTCCTATACGTCGTAACCGCAGTCGTGCCACGCAACGTACTTCCATGCGACGGTTGAAACTGAGTTAAAAATAACTCCTTTTTTCTCCTTCTGTACTACAGGCTCTTCCTCCGATACGTCGTATACGTAGTCGTGCCACGCAACGTATTCCCATGCGACGGTTAAAAGGACAGCAAGGCAAAGACGACGACCAGGATCATGGTGAAGACGAGGATCAACCAGAATCAGAAGATACAGAACCAGAATCTAAAGGTGTTTTTTTGTTTGTTTGTTCAGTATCTGGAGGCTTTGCACTTTTACCTTCAGAATYGAAATTCTTTTTAAAATTAAAAATTCAAATAATGGTTGTTAATTTGAAATCTTTTCGATCTTCACGAGACTTTTAAAAATCGCGCTGTCTGTTCTCGTTTCGTGATTCCTCCGTTGAGGTCAGAACACAGGAAGCCCGAAACATGAACAGGCTGCGAAGGAGGCTACGGGATTTATGACATTGWATTTTGTGACTGATTCGTTTCTGACAGGAATAATAAAAACAAAGCAAACAAGAAAAGTTCCATCTGCGTCTCGGAGAGAGTAAGTAATGGTGTCGRCAGTTCTTGATTGGAAATAATTAAAATGGCAATTCTCACGTTGGAATAGCATATCGCAGTCAGTCGCTTCTTTTTTCTTAAGATTGGTGATGGTGATAATGTGATTGATCGATTGTTTGATTGATTGACTGTTTTTGTTATTATTATTGTTGTTACTATTATTATTATTTTTGTTATTTTCAATTTTTGTGGTATGGAGTGCTGTACAGCCACCTTTCAAGGCATGTTTGGTRTTTTTTCTTAGTTTCAGCACATTTAAGAGTTACAAGTGGGACTTGATGCGMTCTTCTCGATGGAATCAGGACGCTCAGAGAGAAGAAGGTAAAATGAAGGGTGATTGTTCATATAACGCTAAAAGCTGGGAAATCGAATACAACGTGACTAGATTTCTTGTTGAACAAAAGTTGAGATAAAAACGAAAGCTCACTGAGGGTTACTCGAGTTCTTAAATGCAGCGAATTGATTGATTGATTGATTGTTTAATTCATTGATTGATGGATTGATCTCGATCGATCGGTCGGTCGGTCGGTCGGTTGGTTAGTGTAATTCTTTGTAATGATTGTTTACTCTCATAGACCAAAAAAGAATGAACGAACTCGTATTGTTTCTTACAAAACAAAGACAGTCCAGTCCGACACCCGAAGTAGTCACTGACAAGCAAAAACCAAAAGAGGTATGTCTTGTTTGTTTTTGTTGGTCTTTAGGAGAATATCCCAGTTAATATGTAATTTATACACGCATCAGGAGTTTCAGAGAACAATGTGTCCGCCATCTTGAAAAGTGAGCCCTGAATCACTGTTTTGCCTTAGAACAAATTTCATAGCTGCTTAGTCAACTTATCTATCATCATAACGTATATTATATTAGATTTACATTAACTTAGAACCTTTTAATTTCTTTAGGAGTTATAATTTAGTGATTTGAGTCTCACTTTTCAAGATGGCGGATGCATTGTTCTCCGAAACTCCTGATGCATGTATTTGCCCGTGAAGATCTGATTTTGTCAACAAAATCAAATGTTTATATAGTTATTTAAAAATATAAAAAACAGTAAAAGAGTTTTATCAAGGATAAAAACCTAGTGCGGCGAACGAGGGGGTTTGATCCTTTGGAAAACATGTACTAAGTACGAGTTTTTTGAATGCCTGAAAAAAAAACGCCAGTATGAATATAAAACTTAGACTGATTTTTTAGGAAATGTTGAGATATTAGTATTGCTCTCATGTGCGGATTGCTGTACAAGCCTCGATTGTTGTCCCACTCTGAATACGCGAACGAAAAGTACAGTAAGATAAGCGATGGCATTGGTGGTTTTTACATTTTTTACATTCGCCACAAACAATTCTGACCTGACACCACAAGTCACACTTAGAAGTCCCTTTAGTATCTGACAATTAAGATTTTGAACCAAACGTCGTTACTTCYTTAAGGGGAGCTGTGGAAAAGTAACCCTATTTCTTACCTTAAACAAAATAATTGCATAACAGTTTATATGAGAAATACTTCGGTGTAGAGATTTATTTTCAAGGGATTCAAGTTCTGATATATTACGTTTGGAAGTAAAAAGTTCGTGTAATCCAATTTATTCATTTGGTTGCTAATAGTCTTTTTTAATTTTAAAAGGGTTCTATATGTAAACATTTAGTATTAAGCGCATATATCATATACTTATATTAAATTGTAATCCGTTGAAAAAGGAAAGCATTACATTTGCTTATGAAACTGTGCTTATTATGTGAATGAGTACCATAAGCAATAGATAGCAAAGGATAGGTTAAGTGCCTGTTTTTTATAACGAAGTCGTTTCATAGTTCATCGTTTCCTGATAAAATCCTCGATGCTTAAAAATTGACTTCACATGGTATAAGCTCTAATTCTGTGTTTGAAAAGGCTAAATTTTTGAAAAAAATGTCTCGTTTTCGTCTCTGAATATAAATGTATTAGGAACTGAAAAGGGGTTGAAACTWTTATTAACTGTATTTGTTTTTTAGTACAATGGTGGGATATATTCGAAAATTGAGCACCAATTCAGGATGTCACAGCARCCTGCTAATGCTAAAAGCCAACCAGGGAGTACAGCGGCACTAATGGGGTAAGTATACGWAGAGGAGTAATGGGTAGGAGGCGGAGAGGTGTAGGAATGGGTCGGTGTTGCAGGCTTTTCCTATTTTGTTATTTTCAAAATTCTCTTTTGCCTGTTGCTTCCTTTTTTATTTCCTTTCTCTGTCTTCCTTTTTCATTTCTTCTCATTGAGTTTCATTTCTCTTTCAGTTTRTCTTTGTCTTCTATTTTCTTTAATTTTTTTATTTTGTTTTCTTCCTTTTAAAGCTCTTTCATCTTTTATTTCATTTTTCTTCCCCGACAAATATTCCAAWTTGATATATTTAYTGAGAGAKTCTGAGTTGTTGTTTTCTTTTTTTCAGATCCAGGAGTCGTAAAAACGCCCCCAAGTCATGACATTATGTTTAGTGGTGGTCTTCTATATATTGCTGTTGTAAGTTTCTTGGGGAGCACTATGACTGACATGTCAGAGCTTAGCRTGTTATTCTCTCCAAGACGTCTGCCATGTCATGTGCCAAGTGCAGTGACAAAATCATTATTTATAGATTCGCATTTTTGAGATCGACAGCAAACACTTGCATGTTATAATGACAATTCACCAGAATGTGTTTCAAAATCGTATTATTTAATTTTCATCAAGGAATAAATCCATCTTCGGTTTACATATCTTAAATACAGCATTAAACTCTTTAACTGTTGACCTGAGTGGATTATATGAAATTCTAATATTTGACACAAGAACTAGARTGCAAAGTGGATAGCCGATGTTCTTATTTGAAGTCAAAGGATGTTTTTTGTCACTCGCGACTTCTTTCCCGCGCTCTGAACCTTTCCTCTTCTTCTCGAATGCGGCCTCCTTGCTTTGACATTCGTTGACGTCTTCCCCTCATCTCCTTCTCCAACTCGTTGACAAGCTCTCCATTTATCATTCGTTGTTTCTTTCTTTCTCTCTCTTGTTTATGAATACGAATTCGCTGTTGTCGCCCATGATGATTRTCGCGCTCTTTTTCTATTTCTTGTTCGCGTTCGCGATGTTTACTTCGCTCTCGCATGGCGGTCTCAAACCGCTTGGGTAWGTGYTCAGAGAACTCGTGTATTGACGTACGCACGGCTTTGGGGTGATGTATGATTTTATTTCGATACTGGTTCTTGGGCTTGAGTAGCTCTTTGATAAGCATTTCTCTTTGCCTTTCCCGTTGACGATGCAACGCGCGCTGCCTTCGTAGTAGATCTTCCCATTTCATTTCGCGCTCAGAGACGTGTTTCATTCTTTTTTGGTTTTCTCCTTCGTTTTCTTTCTTTTCTCTAGAAGCTCTCGCAAGGCTTTCTKCGTTTGCACTACTGMTGTGGTCATTTCTTGTGTATTCCCTGATATTTCTGTAAGTATGACGCGGGATTTCATTTTCTTCGTTGAATTCTTGGCGGGAAAATGACAAGGCGTTAGAGATTGTGAATACAGCGAACAGAATAAGAACAGTCCTCCTCAAACCTAGAAAACAAATTCAAAGTTTGAATAGCCATTATTAAATGGGGGWTTCAACGAGTTAAGTTTTTTCACCATTTTAGCTGACTAATAGTCMGAAAAATAGTGAGAGCAATTTATCCAGCTGTGAACAATTYGGWGAATTCTTTCAAATGCCCGCTGTCTGAAAGTGAATCAACTAGAAAATTATATTCAGTAGAATTTTAATATTTTGTTTGGATCAGAAATCTTAGAGAAGCCTCTACTATTTTGRACCTTCACACATTCATTTGTTATCAGAAAATTGAAGATCCATTTGCAACACTTAGACGATGAGTTCATACAAACAAAACAACAATAACAAATCGGAATATCACTCAAGGTAAACCGGCTCTCTCCGAAAACCTTGCATTGAACGTATGTTAAATTTTGAAGTAAAAAATACTGCTTTCTTTTTATCTGAGGTAAAATTCAGTGATTCTATCCAAYAACAAACTTTTTTATTTGGTTTTTACATATTGATTTATAGGTAGATATAAAAGAAAGCAGGGTTTTTTGTCTTTCAAATATTAGAGAGTTCAGCTGATAGATCAAAAATCAACCACAGATTATATTCAAGCTAGTAWAAGTGTCAGGACTTCATATTCTGAGRGAAATAAAGGCACTGCAGTWGATCCTCCACAGAAGGGTCATAATCAACATAAGTTCAAAAACGCCCGATTCACAGTAAGATTTCGCGAGTAATATTTATAAATCAAGTGATTTATCATGAAAACGCTTGTGAACGAGAGCGGGACATTAGCGTTTAACGAAAAGGATACTTATTTGACTACAGTGGCTCAYTCCGTAAAGCTTGGTTTTCTCTATGTAGCAAGCATAAGTTAGTAGAAGAGATTAAAAAGCTAAAAACAAACTTTCCCCGTGTGTGCCTTTGGTATATGACTATGTTTATCATATTGAAGAAACTTTGAAGATATGTCTTCATTGAGTACCATTCTCTTGAAGACGATCTTAAAACTTTACAGAGAAGAAGCACGGCCACCATTCAAAGTCTGGATTCTACTCAGATCTTTTCGGTTTCATTTTCTGCTAATCTCTTCAGGATATAACGGAACGGATTTATCAGATTTGATGTAAAAACTAGTTAGCGATAGGTTGTGAGCACTGATGCTGCTTATATTTAGCTTGTGTTGCGGGCCGTTCAATTTCTGGTTTTAGTATCGGGATTTTTGATTTATTTTTGATGCATCAACTTAATTTACATAATATTTTTAGCTTATATAAGCTTATATAACTAAACAACCATATACTGAGAAATATTCTAGGTGGGAGAGAGTTTAAAGAAAAAATCAGAGAGAAACAATGCTGCCATGTCTTACCTTCCATCCTGCTCGGTTTCGTCTCCGACTTCAATGATGGTTTCCCTCAGGAGCTGTCGTTATATATATACGTAATTCACGGGCGTAAATAYACACYTCACAATATCAAACCACACCCGCCAACATACCAGCTGCCATTTTTCACAAATTCTAAATAATTCACCATCAATTACCATTGAAAGCAAAAGTGACGGATTTCAATCTAAGATTGATTGACGCGAGTTGTGATCTATATATAATGGATTGATCCTTCGCCCATTTAAATGTGCAGTGTTAATGTGGGAAACAAACTGTGGGAATCGGTAATGTTTTTTCGCAGTTTTCGTCATTATATTTCCGCTTTTTAATAAATGCGCTTGATTTTGTTTTTGATAGACGTGCTCTCGCTATAATTTTAGCAGCAATCGTCAATAAACGATTTTTTTTAGAGCAGCGCTCTATACAATGGGAGGTTAACATCTGCCTCAAGCTCTTAAAAGCGTGGTTTTCACAGGCTTATATATTCAGCACATCTTCACTTGAACTTTAATTTAACTATTTTAATATAAGATTCAATCGAAATGTTGGGATGCATGGACTCTTGAGTTTTGATTTGTTGTTGATCATCTTTTATCGATCAGTGATTAAAAGATTTAAACACCAGTTGACTCGATCATGGAAGGAAGTATGTAGTGAGTTTTATTTACAGAGTCTCATTTTTTAAAACCACAAACAAATAAATCAGTTGATCATTGTTGTTGTTTCTGTTTTTTGATATAATGAAATTCATCGGCTGATGTTTAATGATTAGTTTCAATTTCTGAGGATAGCAGTGTTTTCCATTTCGCTATATTCGATTTTTTACTGTGGAAAAAATGCGAGAGTAACAATAATAAGTGAAAGTAAAAACTGCCTTTTGAAACAGACATCAGCCTCAGCTCTACACAAGGACAATCATAGTCTACTATTTGTATGGCGGGACCGATCAAACCTCAGCCACTCACTACATCAGAGTTTGGCTGTAATTGATTTTATTGATTGAGGCTGCGTACGCACCGCCACGAATTATGGCCGAGAGGAGACTAGGGTATGACATAGTTACTGAAGAGTGAAAACTCCATTTGCGGCGATGCGACCATCTACAATACATTTCAGTGTCATATAATGCACAATGCAGTCACAATTCCATAAGTAAGTATTTTTGACTGAGATAGCTGTATATAGATAGGTTGGTTAATTTACTAATACAAATGAGTGAAAACGACTGCGACTGGCATGGAGTTAGCCATAAGTACAGATGGCCGATGGGTTGATGCTCAGTACTATGATGAATAATAATGATGATGATGATGATAGTTATGTTACTAAGGAGGGTCATTAAAAGTAATAGATACAATATGAACGTATCTGTATGGATGAACGGATATATACAAATGACGAGCCGCAGGCCAGCTTTCGTTCTAGGTTAGGTCTTCACCTTCGGAACAAATTTTCTGATGTGGTCTTCTAAAAAAAACAATAACACCTTTTGTCGATGTTTAGTTTTGTTTTGTTTTGTTTTGGTAAAAGCCCATCGTCGTTCTACACTGATTGTCATGCATCTTCTCTCTTCCACCGTATGGATGGACCCCAAGCCTCATAAAATTGAATGTTCGTCATCTAAAACTTTCCGCCCGATTTTGTTTTGAAAACGCGTTTGTGAAAAAAAGCACTATAAATAAGGCTCTTCTTTTGAAGACACCAAATACATGACCGTGGCCTTTATTAAAACCTGTAGTTGCCCGTGTGAAAGGTCATGAAAGGTAAATTAAGCTATTTGTGTAAACGCCATATTTGCAGTGATTACTGACATTACCGTACTGCCGCGCCAGCTGGCAATGCGCAAAAATACCCATAGTGCTTTGAGGTTGAGTTGACATGATCGCAAAGGAACTGGGACTGACAGTTTTCGAGAGCACTTTTACAAGCGAAACAGAATTGGTGTGTAAGTCTGTTTTTCTCAAAATATTTTKCGTAATATATAAAGTTCACGATGGCCGAAGGGTCTGAAAGTAGTGTCCCTCCTACCAGTAGTGTTCTAACAGCCAAAGATGACACAGAAAATCCTCAAATCGACACATCTAACGGTACGGTTTCTCGGTAKAAAAACATGTGTCGTTGTTTTTACAAATAAGCTTTGTTGACTTGCGATCTTTGTATTTCATTTCTCGCTTTAGATACCGAAGAAGACAGCTCATTACAGGATATAGTTGAGGTTGAATTCCAGCCTGATTGTCCTGTTTGCCTACAGCCAACTTTCTATCCAGTAAAACTACCATGTGGACATATTTTCTGCTTTCTTTGCATCAAAGGAGTGGCGCTTCGAAGTCGTAAATGTGCGATCTGCAGACAAGTAATCTCCACACAGTACCTTGACAAACCAACACTAGTTAAAGTTTTAGACAAAACACAAACTCCCTCTAGTAAGTCCGATTTGAAGGRAAACTGTGCGCAAGAGGAGAGCGAGTATAAATGGTATTATGAAGGAAGGAATGGTTGGTGGCAATACGATGATAAGACATCAAAAGAAGTGGAAGCTTGTTTCAAGAGTGGCAAACGTTCTTGTACACTTCTCATTGCAGGGTTTCTTTATCTGATAGACTTTGAAAATATGTTTCAAATGAGACGAAACGAACCAGGGCGACGAAGACGGATAAAAAGAGATAAATGTGATGTAGACAGCAAGGGTATAGCTGGCATTAGATCTAGGAGATCTCAAAATATAAACAATAGCAGTTCAACAACACCAAATAYTAACCAATCAACAAGCACGTCCAGTCAAGTTGACAATGATGTCCAAAGCTCTCCCTTAGATGGCTCACCAGTTGAAAGTGATAGCCAGGGGGGTTCAAGCTCTAGCCCAGACTCAGTGTCACAAGATGTATCGGTTGATGCAGTTAGTGATGKTATAGAGAGTACATCGCTGGAATGAGAACTTCTAATGATGTACGTATATTCTCTCTGCCTCCTAGATGCAAGGCTGGATTTTATAATTATAAGCCTGCTTCRCCGGCATAGGGTGGCCTGGTCAGGGGACATGAGGGAATTAATGAAATATTCTCCCTCAGTGTCCAATCCCATCTGGGCCATGGAGCTAATAATTCCAAACCCAACAGTTGCAATTTATCTGAGATTGCTTGCTACTTGCAGCCATTATTTMTGATACCAGAGGTTTACATTATAATATGGACTGTGGTTATTTCCAAGCCAGAAGTAGGGATCTTGGCAGATCACACATATTCCAGTTGATAGATGAAAACACAGTTTTCTCTAAATGTTGAATCAATATATGTTTAATCTTTATATCTTTAATCTGGGATAAGCTCTAAATAAGATTTTGATAACATGGTCCAGGATCTCCATAAAGAGTTGAGTTTGTTGTTAGGTAGAAATAAAGATAAGAGAAAAATTAAATGTAAAGACAAAATGTAAACATAGAGGTAATAATATTTCAATTACCTAAAATGTTGTAGATTTGGATTTTAATGTCATGATTTTCAGAGATGTGGAAATCAACACTACAAACAAAAATTATATTCTTAAAGTTGTTATACTACACCCATGAAAGACTGGAACACATTTTTGATGTGTAATATTCCAGTTAAAAATGGACAGTCAGAGTAATGGTGGCTAGAGTGAATGCACTTAGTCTGTGAAACAAGAAGAGTTTAAATTAGTTGCTAAAAAGGCTCATTATTTTGTTTTCTATCATCTAATCAACACTATTAATTAGTAATATTTAGTAGAAATAATTCAGTAGAGTGAAGTTAAACCTGTGAAATAGATATTACAATAAAACAAATTTGTATGCTTTAATTGCATTGTTATCTTTAGTGTTTATTTGACTATCACATTTTTGTTTCAAGGATTTAATGTCTTCACTCTATTTGTTTCATAGATTTAGTGCATCCACCCTACTTGAACAGGACTTTATATGGAGCCTTTACAACATACCCATGTATAATAAAACTCAAAAATCTCAATAAAGTCAATGTACAGATTATTTTGCTTCGTGTTAACTGTTTGCAATACTTTTTTTTTCTTTTAAAGGATATGATTTACAATAGACTGTTGAAATATTGGTTCATGTCTGCAGCTGYGCCAAACGAACTTGTACATCAATTTATTTTATTCAGAGATACAAAAACAGGAAGAAAAAAAACAATTTTGTGACACCGTTTATACTATGGGCTTCCTGTGCCATTCGTCTGACAAGAGTATCGCGGGCGCATATAAAATCACGTCTGACAAATGCACGTGGACTTCAGTGAATTTGCCGGTTTAGAAACGTAACTTACTGCTTGCATATTACTACTAAAATGGGTTTAATACGRTTATTGACAAGTCGGTGTGGATTTCAAAGAATTTTAAATCGAGTGCGTTTAGTAGAACTAAARAGATATGGGTCAACTACTAGCGATGTCTCGAAGATAAGGAATATTGGAATATCAGCACACATTGACTCTGGTAAAACTACACTGTCCGAAAGATTGCTATACTATACCGGTAGGATAAGTCAGATGCATGAAGTCAGAGGTAAGCTGTAAAGTGTTGTTGGAATTCTTTCGATTCGTATTTTGATRTTCAATTTTTTGGGCACATGTTACGTCATACCCGGCATTATATAAGCTTAAAGTATGGCCGCCATGTTCCTTTATTAACCTTTCCCACAACAGTCGTTTTTGAACGGCCATCGTCCACCGCCATTTCTTCAATTCATCGTAATATCTGCAAAAACTTAGTCTTTATTATCCATTTATGCTCTATGAAACAGAGGCTCAACAGAAACTGAGTGCTTTAAGCACTCAATATAAAAAAAAATAAAAATATAAAAATATTTTAATATATATTAAGGTCAAAATCCGACCGAATCTATCAGTCACAACGTGATGCAGATAAAAGTTTATATATCAGCAAGAGTACTATTACTATTGCTGATATAGATCACATGTATTGCCGAATTTGATGAAGGATGGTAAAAGTAAGAAGAAATTGTATCATCGACATCATATTTATTTTTTATATGAGCATTTCCCTTATTCCTTACCTTATGGATGCCATATAACTTCATTTGAGAATCAAACCCAGGCCTGTCCGACTGACTAACATACTAAAACAAGCAAAGTGTCAAATATGTGCATAAAAATATGCCATCTATACAAAATATTATTATTATTAAAAGATATCTGCAATTATTCATAGGTAAAGATAATGTTGGTGCAGTTATGGATTCCATGGAGCTAGARCGTCAAAGAGGAATTACAATACAGTCAGCAGCTACTTATATCAGTTGGAATGGAACAAACATCAATATTATTGATACACCAGGCCATGTAGACTTCACAGTTGAAGTAGAACGGTCWTTAAGAGTCCTTGATGGTGCAGTGTTAGTATTGTGTGCAGTGGGAGGAGTACAAAGTCAAACACTGACTGTRAATAGGCAGATGAAAAGGTATAATGTTCCATGTGTAGCATTTATAAACAAACTAGATCGAATGGGTGCAAATCATAAGAGAGTGGTAAGTCAGCTAAGAGCAAAGTTAAACCATAATGCAGCCTTGGTTCAGCTGCCTATTGGTCTTGAGGGGAAGCATGAAGGTGTTGTGGATCTTATAACAATGAAGGCCTATTACTTTGAAGGAGACAATGGATCGATTGTTCGAGAAGACACCATACCTGACAACATGATGGATGAGTGTCTAGCTCATCAACAGGAATTGATCGAAATGGTTGCAGATGTTGATTCTGAAGTAGGAGATATTTTCCTAATGGAAGAACGCCCTAGTGAAGAACAGCTCAAAGCTGGTATCAGACGAGCTACATTAAAAAGAGAATTTACACCAGTCTTTGTTGGCTCAGCTCTTAAAAATAAAGGAGTACAACCACTTCTAGATGGCATTGTAAATTATCTTCCAAATCCAACAGAAGTTAGCAATTATGCTTTGTCTGCTGAAGAAGGCGATAAGATACTGATGAACAGTCAAAGAGATGGCRACAGTGAATTTGTTGGTCTTGCCTTCAAACTTGAAGCAGGCAAATATGGACAATTAACTTATATGAGAATCTATCAAGGTGCTTTGAAGAAGGGGCAGTACATTATTAACACAAGAACTGGAAAACGTGTAAAAGTACCAAGAATTATTCGTCTCCATGCAGATATCATGGAGGACATCAATGAAAGCCATGCAGGAGACATTTGTGCCTTGTTTGGCATTAATTGTGCAACTGGTGACACTTTCACTGTTGAAGAAGCACCACTAGTATCCATGGAACCCATGTTTGTCCCTGAGCCYGTCATATCATTAGCAGTGGAACCTGAAAACAAGAACAACCTTGACCAGTTTTCAAAAGCAATTAACAGGTTCACTAAGGAAGACCCAACTTTTAAAGTTCGATTTGATGATGAAAGTAAAGAGACCATTATATCTGGAATGGGAGAACTCCATTTGGATGTTTACATTGAGAGGATTAAAATGGAGTATAACTGTCCAGTTGTGTCTGGAAATCCAAAGGTKGCCTTTAGAGAAACGATCAGCAAAGAATCAAGCTTTGATTATACACACAAAAAGCAAACTGGAGGATCTGGTCAGTTTGGCCGTGTTATTGGAAAGCTAGAGCCAATGCCTGAAGAATCACTCACACAAGTGGAATTTGTAGATGGTACTGTTGGAATGAACATTCCTAAGAATTTCATACCTGCCATTGAAAAGGGTTTTCTAGAGGCTTGTGAACGAGGCTTTCTGACAGGACACAAACTTGTTGGAGTTCGCTTTGTGTTGGAAGATGGCGCTGCTCATGCAGTTGACTCAAGTGAAATGGCATTCAGAATGGCAACCATCAGTGCGATGAGAGAAGCATTCAACCAAGCTGCTCCAATAATTCTCGAACCCATCATGAGCTTGGAAGTTAATGCACCTGATGAATTCCAGGGTGTGGTCATAGCAGGAATAAATCGTAAGCATGGTGTCATTACCGGTACAGATGCTGGGGAAGGATATTTTACTGTGTATGCTGAAGTTCCTCTTAAAGACATGTTTGGCTATGCTACAGATTTACGATCTCAAACGCAGGGCAAAGGAGAATTTACCATGGAGTACTGCAAATATTTACCAGCATCGCATCAAGTACAAGCTGAACTAGTAGAAAGGTTTAACTTGGAAAGGTTAAAGAAAGCAAAGAAATAATATTGTATTTTAATTACTGGCATTTTGAATATTGAGGTTAATCTTTTGCAAACTGTATTTTAGTGCATTTTATGGTGTCTTTGGTGTTTGATTTTACCRATGGTCATTTTAGAAACTTACCAACAAAATGAACTAATTTTGGAGTTCAACATCTCATTGAAACAAGAGATAAGCAATAGAATTAAGTATGGTGTAATAAATATGAAAATATGTTCCTCATGGTCATGATTATTAGATGCAAATAATCATACATAATTGAAATGTTGACTTATTTCAAAAAATAGTTCCTGGTAATTATTGTATTGGCCTATTTTGCCCTAAAAARTTTTAGCATTGGACATCTAACCATTTTATGAACTCTGCTCTTGATATGATGATCAACATAATTTAAGCAATAATAAATCAATAAAGCCAGGTTGCACATTGAGAATCAAATTTATTATAACGCTGCATTATTCTCAATAAATTATCTTCTGTTGTTTTGTCTGTTTGTTTTTGTTGTTTTTTTTAGTTGTTTTATTTTATTTTACTTTTAGTACTGTAGCTCTTTTGTCTTTTTTGGATGACAGGAAACTACTCTGCGATTTCAATATTTTTGCTTCACATTCAACCCATTGAAATGTATGTATTTAAGATTCATGACAAAACTAGATAAATACTATTCAAATCATAAAGACTTTTTTTATTTAGGATCATTTTCTTACAGCCATAAATGATAATGTGCCAATACTTGAAAGTAACCAAATYTTCCARTAAAAAGATCGTCCCAATTTGGTCCCAATAACAGGAATAAACAATGACAACCAAAATAAAAAGTAAGGAGTAGTCCTGTACCAGGGTAATGGTTGCTGTCTGGGTTCTCCTGGGAAGGTGCCACCATTTTGTTGGTAAAAATKACCAAGAATTCTGTTAGCAAAAATACCATTTTAATGAGAAATGAAGAAATATTATTAAGTAAATGATGTCAATTTGGTACCTGTCTTTCTCAGTGAAACAGTTGTGTARCCATTGTCTTCTTTCATCATGGCTCTGAAACAAAAATGAATTGTGGGTGAATTACAATCTTTTACCTGAAAATTCTGGACTAAGTCAATGTTTCTTTGGAAAAAACTATCAATGATTATCACTGTAGTTTGAATAGTCCTGGCRCCATTTTGAAAGGTTATAGCCATACCTTTGCATTAAAGCAAGACAACTGTTGAGCGTGCAATGACAGAAACCTTCTTTCACACCTACAGACAATTATTCACAGGTTTCTATCATTGCATCCTCAACAGTCTCGCTCCGGTGCAAAGGCACAGCTACCTTTCAAGATGGCGCAGGGAACCGTAAAGGAGACTATTGCCTAATTATCTGACTATGCAAAACTCTATATGATACACAACTTTGAGCAGATTGAAACAACGAGTTTTTATCCATTTGGATAAAATACCATACCTTAGGAATATCTTTTGCTTCATATCTGTGACAGTGGACATGAATTTGTTGCCCCCAAGACTCAAGAAAATCTACAGATTATCAAACAAATCAGAAAACCTATGACTTGTGTAATTTAAATGAAGACCAGATCACAATTTGAATTCAAAAACTTCTTTGAAGACCACTACATGTTTTTCTTTAGGGAGGGGTCAGGTTTTCCTAGGAGGGGTATACTGGATCTGCTATTGCACCTCCTGCCATCCTCTTACAACTYCAATGAAAAAGCCAGATAAAGTTTACATACATGTAACAAGGGTGTAGATCTAGCTGAAATTTTAAGGGGTGCCTAAATGCTTTTTTTTTTGAGCAAATTGGCTAAGAATGGTTAGATATAGCTGAGCTCCCTGTGAATTTACTTCACTTTGACTTACTAGGCATRCTCTTTGCAGTTTTTCGTGGTAATACATTTTCCTTGGCATCTTTGTATGCAATGGTTAAATCATACACAGCATCAATGTAATCATGCAGCTTATCAATGCTGATCTACAAGAATAAAATATTACAATATAATTTGGCAACATGRCCWAGGGCTGTATACAAGAGGTTTGCACAGGTCCTCTCTACCAACTAACAATTTTTCACCATCCCATATTTCATCAGTGATTTTAATGKAATTTAGAGTCCCTTGTTATTATTCTATCACCTCTGTGGCTTTAGTTCTTGGAGTTAGTACATGTTGTARTTCTTTTAAACCTGAAAAAAGTAACAATATAGGAAGCTACTTTTGAAATTCCAGGTGTAGGAAATTCAGTGCTATAAAGAGGATCAAGTTTGATACTTGGTACTACGTGTATATGCTATTAATATCAATTAGTATTATACCTAGTTTTTTGGCAAATTCCTTGCTTTTTTCAATTAYTTCTGGTTTTTCTAATGTGTATCTTGTTCCTTCCGGAAATATCACTAGCCATACCTAAAAATAAAAATAAATAAATTCAAATGAATTAATTAGTTGAATGGTATGGTGATAAGAAAACAAGAATAGATGGCATGCATTCTCTCTTCTGTAACATGGTTACACTCACTGGTGTCTTGTAGTGTTTAAAATGTTCCAATTTTCTGAAAAAAAAAATAATATGTAGAACAAATGATTAGGTAGGTTTTTAAATGCATCATTTTGAGTGCTGACATGATCACACCAATCATGTCAAACAAAAATATACAGCAAATCTAGTTATATGGCTTTAATATCACTTCTCTTCATCTGTTTATTCTAAAGAGTTGCTCTTCTTTCTCCAAGCCATCCTCAAAAGTATAATTTCAATTGCCCTATTTCATTATGATGTCACAGTATGTTTACATCGGAACACGATGCTCAAAAACAGTGGAAATTTGGACCCATTTATATTGTCTACTAAAGTAGAACTTCAATGAATCACGTTTTGATATATATCATGTATAAATGATTGTTCATGTACTTTTTTTTTCAAATGCAGTCACTCTGATCCCTTCTGGCGACCATAATCCTTAGCGTTAAAACAATAGAATGTTTTGATGTGACATCATAATGAACTAGGGCAATTACAATAGTTCTGGTCACAAGGTGCCTGTAACCCTCCTTTCAAAGCCAAAGAAGCGAGAAATCCATAGATTGATATGACACCATATCTTGACGTCATAGTATCAGACAATTTGGTATGTAAGGACCCCCCAATGAAAATCCTGGATACACCCATCCTTAGTTCGCACTTTGCTATGGGAAGAAGCGACAAGGTTGCAATCCAACTGTAACAATAACTTCAGTATTACTATAAAGGGAATGGTTTACATGTAACAGAAATTCATGAATGAAATGACTTCATCATTACCTTTCTAATTCTTGTTGTTCTTGATTCCCTCCTCTTTTAACATAAATACAACCATGCTGAAAACACATTTGGTATAATATTTCATTAATATAAATATTGAATAAAATACTGTAGTGTAACCTCCTCTCAAGGAGCCAGTGCGATTTTCTTTACTTGCCTCACAACGTAAAAAATGGTCTAAAATAGTAAGATGCAAAATTTAATTTTCTTTAATTTTGAATATTTTAAAACAAAAGTTACCTGTCCAAAATAGAAGCCGTACAGTGGTAAATATCTCAAACCATTCTTGAGAACATATCGTACACTGCCAAGAGAACCTTGTCTTATTGCAAGAAGATCTGCCACAATCCAATCAACTAAATAGAAAATTTAAAATAATTCAATTTAATATAGAAAATTGTTAAACAGCAGACATAAGCTGCAAAATAATGACAATTAATAAGTGYTAATAGTTATCAAATATTAAAAGTAACAAACATAATCACTATGACTCTGTTAAGTACCTGTACACTGATGGTTACAAATTAGGATAATGTTTTCTTTTTGATTCCATGGAATCTCATCACCATAAAGAATTACCTAAAAT